GCTCGTTATCGGTGAGAAATAAGAGTTCCTTTCGGGGGAGCATATCGAGGAACTCTATACTTTGTTTCACGTTAGTATGTACTTGTTAGCCGCGCGTGCTAAAAGCGCGAGATAGTTGCTTCGAAGGAAGCCTCGGCCGCTGCATGAGCACTCGTGCAGCGAGTGCTCCAGTCAAGGCATTAAAGGCTAGCCGCTCCCGCTAGCCCAGCGTTCGCGGTTAGTCCATGCTAAGGTAAAACGAAATATAGTGAGGGAGGAGCGGTACGCCCGGCCCAGCCCGATGTGGCTGTTTAGATTTTGTTTTTTTTCGTGAAGCCGCAAGTCTCAATTGAAACGAGTGCCAGATTGCATGAATGATGTGACAAATCTGTGTAGAATAAAAGCACATGATTCTTTCTGCGAAAAGCTCACTTAGCTGCAGGCTGCGCGTTAAAGCTCCATTCTGCTGGCAGTATGAGCGAATTGTCGTTTTCTTGTTCCCTTAACTGTTGCCCCGTTTCTATTACCACTGTAATATAGGAGTTATAGTTGGATATAGCTAGGCCGTATGATTTCCGGGTTTAACCGACACTCGAGCACGCGCGATCTGTGCCATTTATTCATCTGTGAAGGAAAATATAAAATCGGATTCCGCGTGCATAACTTCAGCAATATCAACTTCATTGTTCACAAAAAACAGACCAAGGGAGTCATATAGTTCACAACCGGAGTACCTTTCGGGAAAGAGGCGTCCGCGAAAGCCTCAATATATTCTCTAGTGGGCTGTTTAGGTCACCAGCCCAGTTTGACAAAAAAAGGTCTGAAGAGTTTTCTGAGAAAGAGCTCGCAGAGCTCTTCGCTGTGGTAGGCGTCTCGGCAGTTAACACACCACATCGGCGGGCAGTCCATAAGGTGTGGAAGCACAGCGCTCAAGAGGACCTGGCAAATCCTTCCACAACCACGAGTCTTTGCCGACTGTAAAGCTCTCCCGACAAAGGTGCAAACGAGCTTGCACAGCCAGACAGCTTCAGGTCGTTGATAGCTGAGTCCTCTTTGGTCAAGGCTAAACATGGACTGATATGCTCCGTCATGTGATGCATTTCCCTTAAGTTGGGCTTGCATTCAGGACACGTCACCTGCAAAGTTTAGCGGGTTCTACACATTAGCCTTCCTTGCTTTCACTGAGAAATTCTTATTGCTTTGCTAGGTTGAATGTTTCAGCTAATTACTTTGAAATTACGACAATTTCTGCAAATAAAAATGGTCTCCTTTTGTTCGCAAACGAGGGCCAAGTAGCCAGCCATGTAAGTCAGCGGTGCGAACTCAAGTTCGGAAGAGACTTCATTGTATGTCATCAACTGCAGGATTTCGCGTTTCACGAGTGGAGTTGGCACATTTCATTGCCGTCTGGCACTCAAAACTAGAACGCGCATTTACGTTTCCGGCAGCTTCCAAAATGCCAACACAAACCACACACGCGAGCGCAGAGTGACACTACTATATTTTCGCCGAGCACAGCGGTGCATAGGTGGGGGGAAAGCGAGTTTTGCCGCCTTCTGCAACCGCGGCAGCGCCTCGGCATCGGCGAAGCCAATGACAGGCAGATATTTTATCTGGGTAGCGGAGCAAGAGCGCGTTGGGCGCCTTCTCTATACTCCGTTTCACCTGATGTTGTACCGCAGCGAAGGCTGGAGGCGCGAGTTCATAGCGTTGACAGCTGCCCTTACTGCACGAGAGCTTGTGCCGCCGAGATCTGCCCCAGAGCAAGGGTCTCGCACTTACAGCCTTTCCTGCGGTACAACATAAGGTGAAATAGCTCACAAGACCGCTCACCAGAGCCGTTTATACTGAGAGAGTTCGGCCTTCTTAAGGAGATTTTGACAGTCTGACAACCACAGCAGCGTAGTCTGACAACCGGGGGATGACTACTTCCGTCCGCCATATTGTGGCTCTGACTCATAGGAACTCTACGCGATTTCTCAGGAATGAACAAGACAAAGAAGTAACGCCATATTGTGTTATCGCGAAATCCGCTTGTTCTAGCGGCCAACAAGCTCCGCCCATCGGCCAAACTCTCTCAGTATAAACGGCTCTGCCGCTCACCGATGTGCAGCGCCCCCACAGAAAATGGGAGAAGTTCCCCTCTCACGCGCGCTCTTTTGTTTTCGGAAGAACATCGGCAGGCCGCACCAACAGTGGGGATCGAGTGGCCGTGGCAGTAGTAACTGTTCTAAAGCAAAAAGCCAAAAACAAATTTTGCCGTGCACGCGCGTTCGTCAAAGATTTATTATGATTATTTACTTCAAATCTTTTATAAGTAGAAGGCCAGCGCGCGCGGATCGTAGAATTACACTTTCAGCGTTCTTCTCGATGTTCGGGTAACTTACTAATAGGTCAATTTTCAGTGGAGCCGAGTTACATGTTTTTCAATTTATGACGGTATTATATACAGTTCTTACATGCTGGGCAACCATGCTGCCGGTGTACCGCCCTCCTTTCACTGCTCACTTCTTTCTCATCGTTTCTAGGACTCAACTTCGCCGTCCTCTTTCGAACTCGAAAGGAAATTTCAAAGAGGCTTTTCTTCACTTCATACAGCCAAATATTTAGAAACTTTCCAAACAAGGGTTAATTTAGTTTTACCTTGCCGATTATTTGTACCACGAGCAATAAAAATTGTTTCTTAAGCTCAAATGTATGCCGCGCTGCGTCGCGAAAACCAAGCAGCGCGCATTTTTGGGACCCGCCATTTCCGGAACCTTTCCACGGAAACTACGAATGTTCGCTACAGCCAGTAGGTGACACCAGCTACCACCCCATAATAAAACACGGAGCTGTCGCTCATCCAGCCCTCGTCAAACTTGGCTTGGTACTTGTAGGTACCTAGTAGGGAAGAGCGGTTAACTTTTAACAGCGGTTAAAGTTAACCGGCTTCGAGCAAACGGGCCCTGGCTGCTCTTATTTCAACCGTAGCAGAAACACCTGGATCTAGCTGAAAGAAATAAACCGACCACTGGTCAATTGTTGTTACATTTTTGACAGGAAAAGTTGGAGGCTATGTCGTTATTATCCTGCCTTCGGTTCGTACTTTCAGTTCCGGAAATCGGTCGAGCATCTCATCCTTTACCTTTATATTTCTAATTCGTCTTTATGCTCTCAATTCTGTTTCAATCAATTTGAAACATTTACCAGCTGTTCTCACTTTCTTCGTGTTTCTTCCTGCTTCTTCCTATTCCTTCCAATTTCCCGCAGGCTATATAGGCTGGCCCTTAACGATGGAGAGGGAAAAGGGGAGAGGGGACCGGAGAGACCTTTCTTGAGGGAAGCCCTGGTCATCGGAGTCTCTACTTTTTTTTTTCAGCTTCTCTCTTCCCAGGAATCTGCGTAATATGACATGACCAGCGAAGCTGTTTAGCTTCGCTGGTCATGTCATATTACGCTTCGCATGACCAGCGAAGCTGTTTAGCACACGACAAAGACGTGACGGAGAATTTTGAACAAAGGTACGAACACATTTATTGTCTTGGTATGTGGTCATCGCGAAAAAAGGTACGAACACACAATTATTGTTGTCTTGATCGGAGGTCATTATTTGTCTTGATCGGTGAGTAGACACATTGCCCATTATTTGGTTTTGATTATGGGCGCGATGGCCTTGTGGTTGCCATGGTACACACTGATCGGCTCAGGTACGACCTTCAACACGTTCTTATCCAGTCTCAAATCTATGCACCACCAGTGGTGAGTGGTGGGGTTTGCACAATTTGTGTGGCACATGAAACCATAGCACTCTAACACAAATTGTGACCGGACCGGCTTCCGTCGGAAAGTAGGCACGCCCAACGGCACCGCCACCCCGGGAGAGAGAAATGGAAGGAAACTACGCACGCAAGCGCTTGGAACGACGATAAAGAGAGGGCGGTGCGAACGTAGACATAGTAGACGCGGGTCGCATGGCGGCAAATCTTGAGAAACTTTTATTATCTACCTGAGAGCCTATTGATATTGAATATGGTGCCATCTGATAACTAATCTACTGGAAATGCATATCCAAGTGATGAGACGAATAAGCTTTCGCATAGAATGAAGCGATTTTGGATCACATTCGGTCTTGAGATTTTGTGGACGCACATATATGTGCGTCAACAAAATCTCGGGACCGAATGTGTTCTGTGTTCAACCAGTGCGCTAATGTTACAGCGAAGCTGTTCATGGCTAGGGTTCCTTGGATTTTATATAGAAAATCCAAGGAACCCTAGCCATGAACAGCTTCGCTGTAACATTAGCGCAATGGATGAACACAAAAAGAACGAGAAGACAGGATAAAGCGCTAGCTAAAACTGACGTATTATAAGAGGAGAGAAGAAGGCATTTTCTTGTATTCTTTCTTTGCTGGCCGACGGGCAAAACATGCTGGCATGTCTGTCAATAAACTCGTCGTTTTACAAATCCACATACCTTCGTCTCTACGTAGTAAACCCACAAAAAGGAAAACCGCAATCCTTAATCAGATAACAAGGAAATACCACCTTGCCGTTTAGTTTTAGGATGTCTTTTCTAACATAACATATTCTTCAATAAACGCGATTGAGATGGAAGTATGTTTGAAGATTCAGTAAACAAACACGTAAATTTCTGCTCCCAGAAATGTGCCCGTCTGTCCCTTCGTCCAAACTACTACCAAGGCATGTCAACAAAACAGGTTTGGTTACCATATGCACTAACCGAAGCACTGCATACACTATCTCAGAAATGTCTACCACTCAAGGGACACAGTACGTAAGCTTAGGTCAGCAGAATGCCCTGTTTTTACGGCAACTTGCGCTTGAAGACACTTTACAAAGCCTCCTGCCCGCGCCTTTGTCAGCCTTGCAGGTGTTTGTGATATGGAGTATACCATACTTTTTCACTAACAGAGATAATTTAGGTAAAAAAAGCAAGACATTTAAACATCATTGGGTTTGTTTTTTTTTTATTTTCTTACAACCAGATGAGTTTCCATCACCAACAACCATCCCTATGCATAAACAGCGGTCAATTCCTCTGCAACAAAGACGCTGTATGAGGCTGCATCAAACCTTCTACGGACAGCTGCTGTCGGAGATGTTGAACTTCGTCGTGGTGCCACAGAGTAGGTCAAAGATGAAGTCACAGCACACCTCGTGATGTCCCAGTTGGCTCTTGGGGACGAGAAGGGCACATGCGTTTTCTACAGGGTTCAAAGATGGAATAATTAGTACGTTTTCAGGATATCAAGGCCGTGACGTTTAGAATGCCGTTGTGTGTATGAACCGGGATCGCAATTAGAGTGTAAAGCAATCATTTAGCGCTCATTTAAACAGCTGCCTAGGCAGTTATTATTTATGCAAATAAAGCTTGACTCATTTCAACATTACAAAATTCAATGGAATATCAGTAGGTGTGCAAAAGGAAGAAAAACCTTTCACAATAGCTCACATGCCAGAAGAATCCCAAAATGTCGTACTGCATGTGCGAGAAAATATTCAGTACTGCATGTGCGAGAAAATATCTAAGTATCAACAGGTTGATACTTAGATCACAATTCCTCGATAGATCTGTTCAAAGTACTCGTCCGTACCATTGTGGGAGAGCTTTTATTAACAAGAAACACAGCCGTCAGAGGGGCGCTGTGGTCGGTAGGATCTGACATATAAGCACAGACACAGGCATATACAGTTGCGGCATCCGTGTATTTGTTCAAAAATTGGTCATTAGTCTTTGTTTTTTGTCGTCTCCGGAATTATATAACTCGCAACATGGTATTAACAACGCATCTGCCACTGGCGTCCTAGCTGTAGGGGCGCCGAATCATCTAGAAACGTCTGCATGTTTGTGCACCTGGGTTCACCCCAGGGCTATCCCTCTTTCATCTTCAAGTGGCACGTTTGCAGCCTCGCGAAAAAAAGGTCCTTAAAGGGAATACTAAAATGATGTCTATAATAAACGCCTATAAAGGGACAGCCCTTAGAGTAAAGGGTACCGAAATGCAACGAAGTATCCGGACATACATTTATTTGATTATAATTATTGTATTTTCAGTTGCCAGTAGCTTTATATTGAGCACAGTTATCATCGAGTTGTTTTTAAGTGTGAACCGGTAACCGCGAGCTAAAATTCTGGGTAAGTGATTGTTCGGATTGATTGCAAAAATATTGGATTTCGGGCTCTCTTTTGTGCCGGCTCGGTTCAAACATCGGTCCTTATAAAGAGTGCTGTTCGAGCTTGAGTTTGGTTTAACATCTTGGAAAAGTATACAAGCGAGCGGGGCTTACAATATTCAATACAAAATGCCACGAAAGCAGTCTTTTAATAGTCGCATCGTATACGACTCATAACAGCGTCAAACACTCTCTAACTCCTCGAAATTAGTTAAATGTCCGTGAATATATAAAGTCAACTATGCACACAACTTTACTGGATAATTTTGAGCTACCTAAAGTGCTAGGACTAAATAAAAAGACAGTTCCAGGCAGGCAACTTAATACTGCAAAAACTATTGCACTGACAGTTTATTTTCGTCATGCTAAATCTAAGAAACAGTCTTACCCCCTGCGTAGGTCATTCGGAGTACATCACACTTCTTCACGTCTTTGTACGCTGAGTAGGCCGGCACGGACACATCCTCTGCGAAGATACAAAATAGTTTTCATTAGAAGATTTCCCTCATAAAGTAATTCTATCCTCCTACAGATTATAGAGCAAAATAAAACTGAGACTTTCGTAAGAAAAATGTCATGTCGGGTATCCGCCAAAATCATACTTTTTTCATCCACCACCATAATCGAGCTAAATTGTGTCAAATGGTCTGACACATATAGCATAATATCTCGTATTCACTAATGTCTTCGGACAGTAGTTCTTTACCAGTGATGCTTCGGAGACCTTTGGAAAGTGCCATCTGCGGGTTTTGGATAACAGACGATGATAATCACAAAAGTGAAAATAAAGAAATCTAAATGCATGCAAGCCAACGTTAAAGCTCTGGAACATAGACTAATCAACCCAACACATTTGGTGTACATGTAAGACAGTCAGCATCAGTTAAAAGGATATATTTCCTTGCTTGGTGGTTGGGTGCTTCGGGGACTCTAAGAAGGCCTTCAGGGACCACAAAGCTTCCGTGGAGCACCATATGAGATTCACTGTCTTAAGACAATATTTTTCTAAGGCTATTGAGTTTGTTTGTGAATGAAAGTTGTAGTTCTATCGATTGGAAACGTCCAGTCAGACACGATGACGCACGTAGACAAAGCGCTTTTTTAATTTTAGTTATAATACAACAGGATAGAGTCCAGAGCCAGGTAACATTGTATGCACGGTTACTTCTCTTTGAGACCCGAGTATTTATTTTCTTCAGCGGTTTTATACGCTTTATATATAGGCTTTATATAAATACAAAGACCCTTGGTAAAAAATAATAGGACTTTCTTAAGATAGGGTGGGAATACTCACGACCTTGAGGTTGAAAATTCAAAATATTTTTTAGTGTATATCCTGGTGATGAGCTGAGAGTCACTGTTAGATCACTGCAAAAAAAAAGACCAACAAAGCTGCAGTAAGCAATCAGACATCCGCATGAAAAAGCAAGCAAATATTCTGTTTCCAGTTCTAGAATTCGGACCACTCTTTCTGTTTGGTGTACTCTATGAGATTTTCATTTGATTGATCTAGATGGCTCACAATGTCCACTATGGCCAACTGTGGTGATGTATAATATGGACTGCTGGTGATGTATCATATTGTCACGAGTGGTGACCAAAATAAAAGGAAATAAACGGGAAGAAATAAACGTTTAATGTGGCGAACTTGTGCCAAAAAAATAAAGGGAGAACAAAGATAATAACAGAGCGTCGCGGGCGTCGAAGTCGGCGTAGCAGCACAGTCGAACGCTGGAGCGAAACTGACTCCGGCTTGCCTGCGGAGCCGCTTTTGTACACACGTTGGCTTCTGGAGCATTCGACGTAGAAGGTTCGACGCGTAGAAAATTCTGACCTCGAATCAGCTAGACGGTTATCGATTTCACCAGAACATCACATTACAGTGTTAACAAAAATGCGTAGCCGCGGCCAGGAATCGAACCCTGGCCCTTCGCGTGGGAGGCAAGCGCGATAACCGTTAGTCTACGGCCGCGCTGCCTACTTGGCGCGCGGCAATATGGCATTAAAACATAACATTTCTTTCCTATTCGCACTGTAGGGCTTAGCAAAACTAGACCGTAAATATGTCACACGTCACGGCGAAATTTGGAGCGTTTCAATACCTCGTACGAATTACGGCTTTACATCATTAACATACGCATTAAAATCTTTACTTAATAAACTCGAAGCCAATGATATCAGCATCTATGGGACATCAAATCGGATGTTGGCAAAAATCATATTACAGACAGCATACTTTTTACCTCTTTTGCCTGGAGTTTTTGTATCTGTTGTGAAACTTTATTCAATTTTAAAAATATTTGTTTTGATGCATTTATGCTGAGTGCAACAATGTGAATAGTCGTTATTGTGTTTTAGTGACCATTTTTGTGTTTTCGTTGTGTTTCCAATGCTGCTTTCCCGCCAAAGTGTGTTAGGGCGCCAGGAGCTCGTCAAGCTGCAACCGCAGCTTTTTGTCCTGACGTCCTCCCTTTTTGTACCAACCAGAATGGGAAATAAAATACATTAATGTAAAACGGAGTAAGGTATGCTCAAACTACCAATATGAACTTTAAGGGGGCCATAAATTTTGTTAAAGTTGATTATTCTCTGCTTACTATTTTATACACTAAACGAGGAGGGCAGCGGACCGAGAAAGGGGACTTCGCACATAAGTTCGATTGTTCGTTACGCCCAAAGGGGAAGTACGGTGTCCGTCAAACCAAATGAGCCGAATTTATAGCGTTGCAGAAATTAACAGTTCACCACTAAATCCTCGATTTCGACTTCAGTCTAGTGCTCACGGTAAGATTATGGTAAAAAGTGAAAAACTTCCAACAAATTTTTCGATCTAAAAGATGTTGATGTTCGAACATCCTGAGAAGCCATGTCTTAGACCAGTTTCCGGTTTTCCTCCGCAGCCAAGATGCCGGTCCGGCAGAAAGAAACAGATACAAACTTGTTGAAAAAAATACAACCTATAGCGTGGTAGCGACGTCCCCTTGGAGTAGGGCGCTCTAAATTTGTTAGATAGCTGCTATGTTGCTGAAAACTATATATAAATCCGCTAAACGTCGGGTTTAATACTGTTTTTAGGAATGAAGTAAATATGATTGAGAATTTGAGCCGTTTTCTGCGTTAATTAGTTCTTATTGGTTATCGTTGTCTTAGCAAATATTATTTCTATATCATTACATAAAGAGCCATTAATCGGTCTTGATTTCCCAAAAGATTCAACGACGATCAAAAAGGTAAAAAAACAGACATCTCAAAATCACTTCAACTGAACTGAAACGTCTATTTTCTCCAGAAGAGTAGGAGGAATACAAAAAAGTTAACCTACCGACTTGCAAGGTTTTCTTGGCGATTTCATGGTCAAACTAATGAGAGAGAAATCAAATTTATTTAAGCAGCATACTCACGCTGAGAAGCTTGGATCGTACTCGAGAATGATTGGGTAAGCGCCATTTTGTCCAGGATCAGTCTCGCTGAACCTGACGCATTTAGCCGAGCCACCAAAGTATGGATCCGTCTCGTAATTCCTGTACGCCACGTACCACGTCTCTTCGAGGGGAAAACACTGCAAGGTGAAAACGCTGTCTCAAGATAACGGCTTGTGTTGATCGTCCAGTCAGTCTTGATTATGCTCGCCTTTGGCAAAGTTCGGGTACACCAGTCAGAAATAGACATACGAGATAAACAAAAATGTATTTGGCTTAGATTGTATCTTTCTATTTAAACTTACCGGTGATTCATTCTGGTACTCTTGAAGTGCTGGATTTTGTTCCGGGTATGACGTGCTTGCATAAGCACCATGAAGTACCAACAGAGCCGCTACGGCAAGCAGAGCAAAAGACATTGTTCTGAATGGTTGATATTCTTCTACCGAATTTCACTCTCCCTTGACGTCGCCTGGAGTTTCAGCGCCCATCTCACTCGATCTTATAGGGGGGACTCGGAACCACGTGACAGTGTATGGAGCGCATCATCAGGATATCCGCTCGTCGCAAGTCGGTAACTACACGTGTCTTTTTCTATTTGTATTATTGGTTTTCTTCATTCAAAACCGCCGGTGGGCTTTTTTGTTTAATGCACTTCTGTTTAATTCAAACTGACAGTATCAAACTCGAAATGAAGAAAAATATGTTTGCGCAGATTGACACACGTGCCATCATTGTTTTAATAATTGTTTTAAAAAGTTACGCGCGTGCACTATCTACGAGGTCGAAGAACTAATTTGTTTTAGCGAATTACGAGGAAAAATTCAGAATTATATACAAAATCTTTACTGTCCGTTTTAATTTATCTATTTTATCTATGACGTTTCGATATTTCTGGCTATGTTGAGTATTCGTTTCCCAATGCATGCCGTTAAGTGCTATGGAATAAATAATAAACTACATGACCTTGAAAATTGCCTTATTCTTGAACAGAGTTTGTCGACTGAAACGTTAAAGTTGAGACTTACCTCAGTAATGCAACAATCGTTCATCTGATTGTTGCAAGTGAAAATAACTCAATGAGCGCTGCACGCAAATAAAAGAAACTTATAAAACGTTCCCTCGTTAAAGTAAGAGTTGAAGCGAATCACCCTGTCAAGATCAGAAGCAAATATAACATTTGGCTTTAGCCACGTTTATATTAAGAGCTATCCAGTTTTCACATAGAAGTTTCGTACATTCCCAGGACAAAATGTGGAGAGTATTTGTTATTCTTATGCACAGCCGCGAGGGTGATTGCCATTACCCCTTACCATTTTGTTGAAATGCTCTGAGCCTCATCCTAGCTCAGGTCGTGAAAGAGCCTTCAATTATTTTAACTCATGTTTCTTTCGTACATTCAAGCTACGGTTGCACAACTTCTGTTTTGAATATCCGGGTTGTAACGGGCGTGCTGGCGTACATTTTCTTAATCATTCAGTGACTATAAAAGACTGTCTTCCTGTACACCTGTATCTACTTTTTGCACTTCAGAGCGGCCGCTATCGGTTGCTTTGAAAACAGTTTTGTTCTGGACCGTTTTCAAAAGCAACCTAAAATGTACGCTAGAGAATGGATTTTAAGAGCAGTTTTAATATCTGGCCAAAACTCTGTGCACTTCGAAACGTGGACACAAGCACTTTCTATGGCTCTTTGAGGACAGTCCTTCAAAAAGCCGCCCGAAACCCTATGAACAATTTTAGTGAGAACCTTCTCGAGAAGTTTCATGGATGTTACGGCCAACGCAATTGAGGCTTCAAGTTGAGCGTCGCCGCTGCTGAATATATGAGACTGCATAAAATTCCGTACATATAGCCACATTCACAGCGATATAGTACTGACACTGTAAGTGTAAAGTCACTGCTTTAAACAAACTTTTTTGCTTTCTTGAATACCATCTGAACGTAGAGAAAAAGCCGTCACATCTAAACAAACCGCTGCTAGGACCTTTGCCATGGACGAATTCAATGGAACTGTATGCCGTTTCTAAACAACCATTGTTCAGAAATCGGACGTGGAATTTAAACGTCTAAAAGGAATAGATATAAGAAGCCTAGATGTCACACTTCCCATGACGGAAGTTTTTCGAGAACCGGCTGTTCATGAAATATTTGCAACAGCAACTTCTGGTTTTCGATACGTCTCGAGATTCTTGCTACAGACGACGAACGCATACAGGATGGGTAAAGTATGCCATCTGCAATAGTTTGAATTGTTTGTATATTGATAGGACTTCGATCCTGCATTTATTTGGAACATAGCACGTCGAAGAACACACATCAGGTTTTTTTTTTTAAATCCGACTTGGATTTGCGTGCGATACGGATACTGTCTGTCGAAAATGATCATAGGTATGGAGATCTAAAGATGCAGAAAAAAAAGTGTTGAAAACATATCAGAGCAGCGTCAGGCCTTCTTTCATGTTTTGTAGTTCAAGTGCATTCTAATGAAGGGGAAATATTTTCTTGCTTTAACATATCCGTTCAAAACCCCGAACTTAGTTTTTCAGGCTCGCAATATCGGTGTGTGTCTCGTACCTGACTGTAACCACCACACCGAGAAACTATCCTGCTAATCCTTACGTTGTTTTCGATAAGTCACCAAATAGCTAAGGAACTGGATAAAAACAGTAGGTAAGTTATATATCTGTTTTAAACAGTTCGCCTGATCACACAGATATGGACTGAAGAAACTTCTGTGCCGTCAGAACTCCTTGAAACGCATGCCGGCCTGCACTTTGATGTTGATAAACTTCAAATCAAATCAAGTTTATTTTCCAGAAACTCTGGTGGGAAAGCCCATACAAAAATCTGTTAAAAAACAGCTTGACTAGGTATGGGATCCCTTTACATTGTCAGTAGCAACAAATGAATAACACATTAAAATTATACAATGCTAGAAAAGTACAAACAAGTGCTCTCTTACTTATTGTATTTATATTTATGTTGTTTTTGAAGCACTTGTTTAACAGAAGGGGTATATTATAATGTAAGGACTGCAAATTATAATTTGTATGAGACCGAGGGAGGACCTATGAAACTGTGTGACGCGTGCTAACAACACATTCATGCCTTCTAAGATGTAAATTTGCATACGAAAATTCTACAAGAGCTGGGGAGGAAAAACAAACTGTATAAAGCGAACAGTACTCGTACATGGATTTTATATGCAGTGTGTGAAATATGGAAAATAATGGTTCTGTGTGGTCATAATAAGAAACATCTCCAATATATCGTAATATTTTCTTTTGGAGCAATATGTTATTAAGATTTGTTTTGGCCGTAGTGGCCCACACAAGATGGCAATAGTTCAAGCGGGACTGGAATAATGCATGATAAATATTTAGCTTAATATTGGGTGGCAAAATATTACGCCAGAATATAAGTCCAAAAACTCGTGAAAGTTTGACAAGTATATAATTTATATGGTTATCCCTAGTCATGTGCTCTCAAAAAATTACACCCAAGGTTTTATGCTGGTTTACAAGTTCAATTGAGGGAGTACCAAGATTGATTGTATTATTTATAGAAACAGGTTTATTTGTTGACCTGAATAAAATTGCTTTGGTTTTTGTTGTGTTTATTTTGAGCCCATCTGTTTTAGACCACATAAAAAACTTACTTAAAATAGAATTTGCTTTACATACTAATACATCAGCTTCTTCCCCAGAGAGAAACAAGCTGGTGTCATCCGCGTAGATAATGAACTGTGCTTCGTCATTGATGTTTACAATATCATTAATATAGGCATCAAATAAAAGGGGCCCCAATATACTTCCTTGCGGTACACCAGTGTGAATATGTCGGGAAGAAGAGCAATGACCATCGATAACGACTGACGGTTTACGATTATTTAAGTAGTATTCAAGTAAAGCAAGTGGCGTGCCGCGGACACCGTAACGATTTGATTTCTCAAGTAAAATTGTGTGGTTTAGGACATCAAACGCTTTGCTACAATCAATAAGCTGCCTAGAGTAATGAGCCTTCTTTCTATGTTTTGTAAAAAAATTTCTGTTTGAAAAACAATGCTGCTTCTGTAGATTTTCCTTTACGAAAACCGAACTGGGAGTCTGTAAACACACGGTGTTTTGCAAAAAAAGTTGTCAAGGCGCGTACAAATTATTTTTTCAAGTACCTTGAAAAAAAACAGGCAGCACAGAAATAGGCCTATAATTACTTATAATATGCTTATTGCCACCTTTATATATAACTGCGACTTTCGCCAACTTCATACTTTCAGGAAAATGTCCGGGCGATAAAGATAAATTATATATGCGTACGAGGCATGGCGCGATGACTTCCATTACGAATTTAACTGGTTTTATCTGTATCTCATTTATATCAATACTCTTGCTGTTCTTAAGCCCCCGAAACATGTTAAATACCTCTTGTTCGTCGGTGAGAATTAGAAACAAACTTTCATCGACACGTATGGCAAACGAAATGGCGTCGTCATTGTAGGCAGTCTCGTGTGACTTGAAAAGTAGTTATTAAAACATTCAGCCAAAGTCGTACCCGACATAGCTTGACCATCTATAATTAATTCACCTATACCAGAAAAAACCTGATTGTGATTTAAGACTTCATTAATATTTTTCCAAACAACATCTGGGCGTTGCTTAGGGACATCTTTGACTATTTGCTTATTGTAGGACGATTTTGCTTTTCTGAGTTCAGATGTTAATTCATTCCTAAGTTTTTTTAAACGGGATAACTTGCTTTGGTCTCTTGATCTTAAAAATGCGTTGTATAAGCGATCTTTCTTTTGCATCATTTGTATGACGACGACGACGATGTTCACGTCGTCGTCGTCGTAGGTGATTTGGCCTCACAGGGTTTTCACCTCTTTCATGTATCGCGGAAGTCTCCAAGGGCCGACGTTCTCAAGCTCCCACAACTCGAGCGTAGACCAAAGCTACACACGGGTACCCTTCGCTTCTAGAATCATACAGAAAGTTGACCCTGGGAATAGAAGTCATCGTGTCGTCTGCTAGCAAGGCAAAACTGGTTGTGAATCTTAATTTCGTGCTTTTATTATCGCCTTTTGGCACTGAGATGACAGAAAAAGTATCTGTGATTGAATAACGAGAAGGCATAATGCTTACGAAATTATTTAGTTTTTATCAGACAAATGCTAACCTCACGTCCAGCCCCCATATATTTGTCCAATACAACGACCCTAGCAACGCGTTTTTTTTTCTCTCTCTCTCTTTTAGCACAGCAGTTGTTTCCACTAGAGTCAACAGATCTGAGCTATCGAAGGAACACATTTTCCTACTCCGCTCACCCTTAAAGGGATATTGCCGCGCGCAGGGTCACGGACTTCTAGAACTTTCTCGTTTATTCTTGCTCCGGACATAACTTCTATCGTTTATCCATGCTTATGTTGTTCTAGAAAGTGCGTGTTCATTCTCGCCC